GGAAGCTGACAGACACGCTTTACTGTCAGGGCACTATGAACGTCTCAAAGGTGAGAAGAGCAATCCCTCACACCAAGACCAACGTGGAAAACAAATGGCCGTAAAAATGGGTTTCCTTGCCCAATTCTCACCAATCATCCTCTTTCATGAAGTTTTCCCAGGTGTCAGAGGGAGCGTGGGAACCGTGGGGTCACAGAACCTCACTTGGTGTGAAGCCAGGAGGGCTGACACCATACATGCACCCCGTCATCCAGAGCCTGTGACAATGCCTGACAAGATCAGGTTTTCATGTTTGATATGTTTTATTTTCAAAAGCAGCCCATCAGCGATGGTTAGTAGGCAAAATAAGCACAGCAATAAAGAGTGAACCTCGGGCGTCAGCCCTGCAGGGGGAGCGGGGAGCCAGCTGGGTCATTCCCTACCAAAAACCAGAGGCACGGCCTCAGAGCCCTGCGCTTGCAGGAGCCAGTGGGCTGTAGAATTTAGAGACACCTCGTTTCACAGGAGTGCTTGCCATCACTGGCATCCAGTGTCTTATCAGAACTTCAGTGCTCATCCATGAGTCAACCTTTCTGCTTATGGGTCTCAGCCACTGTTGGTCCCAGTATGCGGTTAAAATAACCCCCAGGATGATGCTGATTAACTTGATCCCACTAAGGAGTATGCAGGGCCCACAGGTCTCTATGTCTCTCTGCAATGTGGAACCAAGAATTTCTACCAGATGCCCCTGCTTCTCCCACCTGTTCCATTTTCCTATTTGTAGAATACGGCAACCCCACAATGCATGGAACTAAGAAATGCCACAGGCAATGAAAGAAAGTGACTACAGGAAACTCCAGCAGGCTTGCAGAATCCCAAATTCCCCAGTGCTGCGTCATCCACTCACATTTATTTCCCCTCCCACAAGGGGGTCTAGTTAACTGCAGGCAAGGCCAGTGTGAGATTTGTGTTTGTAGTTTGTTTCTCATATTACAAAGCCAACCTGGTTTAGTCCAGGACTAACAAAAATCACCAACATACTTTCCAAAGAATCCTGTCCGCTTATAGGAAACCGGGATCCTGTCCTTGCCTTCAATATTCAGCTCATCTTCAGCCGCTCGAAGCTTCTCTTCAAATTTGTCGATATTTGCCACCTGCATTCGGTACATCAAGGCCAGCCGCTGGGGCAGAAAGCAGAGGGGACTGTGAGAGTGACAAACAGCACAGACTGCCGACCCCACCAATAACAGGGGACAGTCCCTCAACACCCTGTACAGACAACTGCAGGGTTTCAGAGCTGACGTTTTCATCTGCCACTCAGAAACTACTTCCACATCTAAAAAGTTTTAGTTTTCTCAAACACAATTACAACAAAATTTCAATAGATACGTTTTCTCTATTTTCAGTAATAGGAACATTTTAAAAAAATGAAGAGTGGCATTTGCATTTTAAACTCTGCTCCTGCCTCCCACTCAGCCCTGCGTGCTCACAGAGACACAGCGACGAGCCTGCAGCACTGGATTGGGGAGGCACAGTCAACCTACTAAGGCAAGAAACACAGGCTTTGTGCTTAACAGTTGGCTGAATCTGAAACTCAGCTACATGAGTTTCTTTTCTCTTAGTAAAAATTTCCTGGATAGAGAAGCGAATCGCCGCCTCCCCCAAGCACAGAGGCCTCACTGAGAAGGAAGCCCAACAGCAGACCAGGAGTCTACACCGGGTCCTGAAATCCCTTCTCAGGGAGCTGATCTGGTCACGGGGATCGCTCACGGGCTACTCTGAAGCCTCCTCAGAAGAAACATCTGAGCAACCCACAAAGGGGCAAAAGCCTCGGTGGGGAGGTCCTAATTATTTCCACCAGCGTGAACTACCTCACACCAATCCTGCCACATTTCCTGACAGCGTGGTCCACACGGTGTCCAGAGTAGAAGTGTTCCAAGCTCAGGTTCTAAACACACTCTTGGAACCTAAACTAAGCAACAGATTTCCCCCTGGCTCTTAAGAGTCTCAGAAGATTCCTTGTGGAGTGACTGTCATTATGAGAGCAGACAGCCAGGCTCCACTTTGTGGGGTAACAAGGCCAGATGGAGAGGCAGACAAGGGGACCCACCAGTCACGATGTATTTACCATCATCTGCGTTGGAACACCCAGTGGCCTCGGTTGCTGGATGAACCTAACGGACCCGAAATGTTTGATCTGAACTTCGTCAATGTCTTGATCACTTAAACACCTGGCCTGGCCATGTAAACAGGGTCACCCATTTGCATAGAAGGGAAAAACGTAGAAATGACCCTCTTTATATGCCCAGATCCAAGAGCAAAATGTATGATACCAGAAGCCGATTCAATTCCCACACCTTCTGTAAAGCTTCCTCCGATCACCTGGGTCCAAATCATTGCTCACTTCTGCAAGGCCCCACAGCGTCAGCCAGGTCACTCAGGCCCAGACCCCCTCACTTCTGAAATGTGCTGGAGTTCAACTTTGACTGGTTAACAGTCTATGTGTTGATCCTATCACCCCAACCACATTATAAGCTCTTATGAACTGACAACCAGCTGCAAACACCGTGCTCGAGATCCGATCTATATATATATTATTTTTTTCCCCCCAAAGCCCCAGTAGATAGGTGTATGTCACAGTTGCACATCCTTCTAGTTGCTGTATGTGGGACGCGGCCTCAGCATGGCCGGAGAAGTGGTGTGTCGGTGCGCGCCCGGGATCCGAACCCCGGGCCGCCAGTAGCGGAGCACGCGCACTTAACCGCTAAGCCACCAGGCCGGCCCAGAGCTTCTCTTTTAGATCGGATCTCTAGGGGTCGGCCCTGTGGCTTAGCGGTTAAGTCCGCGTGCTCCGCTACTGGCGGCCCGGGGTTCGGATCCCGGGCGCGCACCGACACACCACTTCTCCGGCCATGCTGAGGCCGCGTCCCACATACAGCAACTAGAAGGATGTGCAACTGTGACATACACCTATCTACTGGGGCTTTGGGGGGAAAAAAAGGAGGAGGATTGGCAGTGGATGTTAGTTCAGAGCTGGTCTTCCTCAGCAAAAAGAGGAGGATTAGCATGGATGTTAGCTCAGGGCTGATCTTCCTCACAAAAATAAAAAATAAAAAATAAATAAATAAATAAAAGAGAAGCTCACTGGGCTGGGCTGCAGCCACAGCCGAGCACGCTTAGTAGGACGAGCGCTCTGCTGACCACTCCACCCTACCCAGAAACCAGAGCAGAGACTACGGTGTGCACAGGGCACTCTCTGGGGTGCCGCGTGATTCTGCTCTAAGGGAGAGAATACTCTGCCGAAAAGAGTAAAGCCGTGTCCCACGTGAGCAGAGTGAGTCAGAACTAGAAGGCCTGTCTGTCTCCCAGCATGTAGAGAGGCACAGGATGTGAGCTGGTCTAGTTTCCCAGTGTCCAAACTTCTAACAAACAATGGGAAGGAGACTAAAGCAACATGACATTAAATATTATTCATGATCCTGGGTTAGACCCTTAAGGCTGGTGGACAGGCAGTTGGGAGATGTGAACAGGGACGGGGTTGTAGAAAACACTGTGTCAGGGTGGCCTTTCCTGGGCCCAACAACGGTGTTGTGGTTACTGGGGGAACGAGAAGGGGGTCAGAGGGACGGGAGGGCACTGGAGAGAGTGGTTCATTTCACACAGTCAAGCTTTTGGGGCTCAGTCTCCATGCACCCCCTCCTTTCCCAGCAGTGCCAGAAAACTGGGCCACTGTCGCTAGGGCGTGTCTCTCCCCTCTTTGATGCCCAGCCCTCCACCTGCGATGAAATCCCACCCTCCCGACCCCTCTGCAGCACCTACAACCTCTCCTCTCGCTAGCGCACCCCTCTGCAGTCTTGCCCACGCTGGGATTCTCTCCTGGGGGTACCTGAGGTGGGAGATGAGCAGGGTCCCTCTCATTCCTCTCTCCCTTGCTCCTCTCTGAGGGCCAGTCCTCATCCAACTCCTAACTCTTAGCCACCCCTCAGAGTGCTGTTTCCTGCCTCCCACCCCCAAGAGATTTCCGCTTGGCCAACCCCCACGTCCCAACTCACCTGCATCTGCCAAAGCTACCCTGTCTGCTGACCCCCAGCCAGCGCCACACCACACACCCAGACTGCCCAAGAGAAACCTAGGGGCCAGAGATGGGCCCCCTCTCCTTATCCCTAGTGCCACGGGTCACCACTATGGCCACTCTGTCACTACTTCTATCTCCTCCTCCGTCCACGGCAGCTACAGACCCTGCTGGCTGCTGTCTGGAGACAACACTGCCTCCCCCATTTCAAGCTCCATCTTAGTGGGCCACCATTCAAAGACTTCCAGTGAACCCTCCTTTAAATGGAGATATATCTTGTTTCAAGAAAACCTGAAACATGACAGTCAAACAAATGGGGTGGGCAGGGGCTGCCTGAAAAGGGGTGTGCACCCAAGCCCCCAGGTCTCTCCGAGTGGCCACGCCACAGAGCCCGTACCCACACCCTCACTCACAGGCCGCCCGAACACCACAGCTCCAGGGTGCAGGTACACTTCCACCACCTCGCTCTCGGGCACCACCTGGACACGCTGCACCTCGCCCTTGGCCAGCATCTCATGCACAAAGTCGTTCCAGGAAATGTTGCCCCCACCGGTGCTGAGCGCGTTCAGCAGGCTCATGACGACGGCGATGACAAACAAGGTGCGCAGCCGCTCGCGGTACATCTGGTCCTCCCTCTCCTTGCGCCTCCTCTCCTCTGCAAATGGGCAAGCAGAGGGAGCATCAGACCCAGGCCGCAGGCCAGAGCCCACCCTCTGCGCCCTATGTCCTTTCGTCAAGAAAGCTCAGCATTGAGACCGTGGTGTCTCATCTCCTATAAGATCCTGCATTTTGGCCAATTTTTCAACAAAGTGATTCGAGACAAATACTAATCGCAAGGCAATTGAGGTCACCAACATTCCATTTACTAAGGTCCCACCTGCTTAGATAACATGAAACCATTTTTAAAGTCAAAAACTTCCTGGGCCGGCCCCGTGGCTTAGCGGTTAAGTGCGCGCGCTCCACTACTGGCGGCCCGGGTTGGGATCCCGGGCGCGCACCGACGCACCGCTTCTCCAGCCATGCTGAGGCCGCGTCCCACATACAGCAACTAGAAGGATGTGCAACTGTGACATACAACTATCTACTGGGGCTTTGGGGGAAAAATAAAAAATAAAATTAAAAAATAAATAAATAAAGTCAAAACCTTTCTAGGACCAGCACACAACGCAGGTACACCGTAAACGTTTCCCGGAAAGCACGCCGGCCCAAGGGCAGTGAATTCAGGCTCCCCAGGAGCGATAAGACATTACAGATCAGCAGCAGTGCATTTGTGGCACATGTTTAACTTATTAATAACAAATACCTTTCACCGCCACCTGCCCTCCCCTCATCTCACAACCACCTATCCTGAACTTTTTATCAGAATGAGTAATGTTCAAGTAAGTTGTATGTCATTCATCAAAATAACATTTGAGAATAGCACATTTAAAAAGCGTAAGAGGGGCCAGCCCTGTGGCCTAGTGGTTAAGTTCAGCACGCTCAGCTTCAACAGCCCAGGTTTGGCTCCCAGGTGCAGACCTACACACTCGTCCGCGGCCATGCTGTGGTGGCGACCCACATTAAAAACAGAGGAAGACTGGCACAGATGTTAGCTCAGGGCGAATCTTCCTCAAGCAAAAAGAGGAAGATTGGCAACAGATGTTAGCTCAGGGTGAATCTTCCTCAGCAAAACAAAAAAAAGTGTAAGATATTGTTTAGTCTATAGACACATATTGGGGACCACTTAATTCCAGAATGTTCCCAGAAACCAATTCTTTATCAGAACCATCAGATAAATTCCCCCAATTGCCTTACTCAGTGATTAATACCCTACTTAGGATACAGACAGCTTCACGCTCAGTTCTCAGGGGGTGAAAAAAAGACATGCCAGCCCGGTGGCGTAGGGGTTAAGTGCGTGCACTCCGCTTTGGCGGCCCGAGGGTTCACAGGTTCGGATCCCGGGCGCACACCGACGCACTTCTTGTCAAGCCATGCTGTGGCGGCATCCCATATAAAGTAAAGGAAGCTGGGCATGGATGTTAGCCCAGGGCCAACCTTCCTCAGCAAAAAGAGGAGGACTGGCATCGATGTTAGCTCAGGGCTGATCTCCCTCACAAAAAAAAAAGACTTAAGACTCAGCCCCTGATCTTGACACACGAGGACATGAGGTGAGGACATGAGGTGAGGACACAGGCACCCGGGGGAGGTAAATCGACCTCAGCATGCAGTGGACATAAGGCTGAAGTGGGATTAGCACAGCAGGAATCTGCAGGAATTCCAAGAAGAATGCTCTCAGCATGGGCACCACAATGAGGCTCCAAGAAGGAAGGAAGGAAGGGAGAAGCGTTTAGGGAGGAGACAAGGAGCACTTGTGGCCCAGAGCACAGATGGAAAACACCATCCTGAAGTTGAGCTGGGTTTTAGGGACTCACCAAGGCCAGGCCACAGTCTTCCTCCCAAATCCACCAACCAGATAAGCCCCACCTCCACTGGGGATGGAGGGCAGGTGCTGAATGTGATTGATGTGGTACTTTCGGCCCAGCACTTTTTTTTTTTTTTTTTAAAGATTTTATTTATTTTATTTTTTCCCTCCAAAGCCCCAGTAGATAGTTGTATGTCATAGCTGCACATCCTTCTAGTTGCTGTATGTGGGACTCGGCCTCAGGATGGACGGAGAAGTGGTGCCTCGATGCGCACCCGGGATCCGAACCCGGGCCACCAGCATTGCAGCGCACGCACTTAACCACCAAGCCACAGGGCCGGCCCGGCCCAGCACTTTACATGGTCTCACTAGCCCACTTCCCCTAGTAGCCCACCTCCCCTAGCCCTTACAACCATCTGGGCACCTCCATTTACACACCCGGAAGCCCTGGAACTACTCATGCGTTGCTCACCTGTGCAGTGTGCACCCGTCCTTCCCAACACTCCATCTAGAGTTTACCAAACCTGTTGTTAACGATGCTTTTTGAGAAATGCATGTACAATCCTTCACCAGTACTGCCCAAGACAGGCCCAGACCTAACTCAGCAACCAGAGTTTCAACCATTTACCGGTCCTCCCCGCAATCCGTGTGCTCCTTTGTGCACAAACATACTCGTCCACTCAGGGGAAGAGCACAAACCCACTTACAGGAGCAGGGAGGAGCAGGGACAGACGCAGGGCTAGCCCAAAGCCTGGGGTGGGAGGTCCACACAAGCTGCACATGTGGGCACTTCTCCAAGGACAAGAGCCCGGCTGGACCTCTGTATCCTCTCTGCACTGCCTGGAGGTGTAGTCACCCACAAACACACCCCTTCCTCTCCAACAATCAGTTTAGAGGAATTCAAAAGCATTTTAAATCAGCTTAAAAACACAAAATGAAAAAAAAAAAAAAAGGAAAACAAAAGACAAAAAAACAAAGAACTGAAAAAAAAAACAAAATGAAACCTACTGAGAAGGCTGTCTCAGTGATCGTTTTGAAAACATGGATGCACATTTTAGATAGCAGGATATCTTACAACAGATTATAATAGTGTTATCTAATATTTAAAGCTCATATTCTGGGCCGGTCCCATGGCTTAGTGGTTAAGTGCGCGCGCTCCGCTGCTGGCGGCCCGGGTTCAGATCCCGGGGGCGCACCGACGTACCACTTCTCCGGCCATGCTGAGGCGGCATCTCACATACAGCAACTAGAAGATTGTGCAGCTATGACATACAACTATCTACTGGGGCTTTGGGGGGTGGAAATAAATAAATAAAGCTCATATTCACAAAAGGCAATAAAGGCTACCACTTATTTTGGAAAGCAAACATGTTCTCAGATGAGTAGCTAATTTAGAGACCATCTATTTCAAATATTTAATTTCCAATCTTGCTTTCTAATTAACAACATCAACAGTCATCATACTTGCCACAACATGCTGCCCTGAGTGAGGCTCAGCAAGCAAGATGAACATCTCTCTTTCAGAGCTTTCTGTGATCATAATACCTAATTCTCAACATGAGCAGTGATACGTTTAAGATACTGAAATTGTGAGTCCCCGTGTTCCTGGCTGGGGGGGGCCGCAGTACCCAATTCAATAGAAGTATTTATAAATTCATGCCTAAGCGATGGATAGCTCTCCCCTTCCTCACTGCTCTGCCCATGTGCCCATCACACCCCACATAAACAAGGGTTTGAAGCAATTCTACGACTCACAAGCATCTGTTCGTAGAACATGAAGCAGGCCTAAGATTTTTAAAAGATGTGGTTTTGTTTTAAATAAAAGATAACTTTGCACTTTTAACAAAAATTTCTAAAAACAATAAAATGACAGCTTGGATTTGGGCTTCAATAAACACCTCTTCTGCTTTCTTCACAAAAGCAACCCTTTTCAAATAAAAACAAGCCAGGCGTTCTAACACACAAGGAGCTGCCACCTTAGCACAGGCCGCCCCCATCGCCCGTTTCAGGAAGAAGGCCGCACACCCCCATTCTGTAGAGGACTCTGCAGGCTGAGAAGCAACAAGTTCCACCCGGAGTGGTTACTGCCCTGAAGCTCCGGGAGATTCACTGAAGTCTTAGGTTAAAATGGTTTCCATTTTTCAATAAATCCTCCTCCGGCTTCTGAGTCAAAATAGCCTCAAGTCCTCCTCCCTGAGCAGGAAGGAGACCAACAACTACTCCCCCAGACAGGGCCACAGAAAGAGGGATCAGTCCCCACAGTGGACATCCTGTTACAAAAGTGTGCAAACACGTGCGTCAACAGTGCACACACACAACAAAGTGCAAGTGTGAGATGAGGGCCAGGTGTGGAAGGAACTGGAAACCCAGGCCTGCGAAGTACAGCAAGCTGGCCCCATACGGGGCGGTGCAAACGGGAAGCCCTTTCTGAAAGCTACTTGGCCTAGGTGTATCAAGGGCCATAGAGGGGCCAGCCCTGTGTTGTTGTAGTGGTTAAGTCTGCACGCTCCGCTGCTGGCAGCTCAGGTTCAGATCCCGGGTGCGCACCAATGCACTGCTTGTCAGGCCATGCTGTAGCAGAGTCCCATATAAAGTGGAAGAACATGGGCACGGATGTTAGCCCAGGGCCAGTCTTCCTCAGCAAAAAGAGAGGAGGATTGGCATAGATGTTAGCTGAGGGCTGATCTTCCTCACAAAAAAAAGAGCCATAGAAAACATTTAGTTTCCATAACTCACTAATTCTACTTCTGAAACTTTAACCCAAGGAAACCAAACCTAAAAAAACATGTCTGCAGTAGTGATCAGTATGATATTATGAGGCCAGTCCAAAAAACAAAAAAAAAGAGAGCAGTAGGGAAAGATATGAATGTAAGACCCTTACAGGATTGGTTAAAGACAAGGAAAATTTCTGAGGTGTAACAGGTGAAACAAAATCTGACCCTGAGATTCTAAACAGAACACGGCATTTGAACACTCTGGATAGAAAAGACACTTCCTCTGGGGTTTTGGGGAGAAAAAAGGAAAAACGGAGGAAGATTGGCAACAGATGTTAGCTCAGTGCCAATCTTCCTCAAAAAAAAAAAAAAAAGACACTTCCCCTCCCTGGAAGACCCTCCTCCGCCTTCCCAGGAAGTCCCACGAGCAACCCTATGAGACACCAGCACTACTGAACAGCCTAAAGGCCCTCCTTCCGTCTGCTGGATCCACCTGCTCCCCTGGGGAGCTCTCTTGGTAATAACGAACGAGTGACTGACAGCGCCAATGCTCCCTGTGAGGGCTACGATGGAGTCACCGCTGAGCCTGAAACCAGAAATGTCTACACTGAACCCAACCAATGACCACATGTCATTTCTGGGAGTTAAGACCTTTCCCTAAAGAGCTTTAAAATGGAAAGTTACTGCTCTTCTCAACCTCAAAGTGAAGGTGACAACAGTGAAAAACATAAGCTTCTAGAAAACTGAGCATGCGGATTTCCCTCCAACCCGTGAGCTCAGGCTGAACCTCCACATTCACGATGGAGCCATGCACAATCTCCACGTCCTGAAAACGTGTCTGAACTGTGACTTGGGAAAAAGGTCCTCCTAAGTTACCAAACGCCTGGTCAGGAAGCCGTCTCGTCCCCACTCTGCTTCCAGGTTGGCTGCGCCCTCGGGAAGATGGGCTGGGGAGTGGGCATCAGTCTGCATGCTGATTTCTGGAGACAGGCGTGGCCCCAGGGGCCCGATTGACAAGGCACTTCTGAGGCTGCCTTCCACCCTTATGCGTCTGGGGCTCCCAGGAGCTGTGCTTCTGAGCAGGACTGGCCTTTGAGTACCCTCCAGGCCTCCCACTTGGGTTCCCTCGAACAACACACAGCAGCCACATCAAAATCAGCACTGAGGGCAGCCACATCAAAATCAGCACTGAGGGGCCAGCCCATTGGCGTAGTGGTTAACTTGGCGCACTCCACTTCGGTGGCTCGGGGTTCACAGGTTCAGATGCCGGGCACAGACCTACACACTGCTCATCAAGCCATGCTGTGGCTGCATGCCATATACAAAATAGAGGAAGATGTGCACAGATGTTGGCTCAGGGACAATCTTCCTCAGCAAAAAGAGGAAGATTGGCAATGGATGTTAGCTCAGGGACAATCTTCCTCACCCAAAAAAAAAAAAAAATCAGTACCAAAGTATAACGGAGCTCCTTGACAAGACAACCAGTTCTCCAGGTGTGACCCTCCCGAGACACAGCACAGAGCAGGTATCCAGTGCCCTCGGGTGTAAGAAGAGATCAGTAACAGGGTAATTTTGAGGCGAGAATTAACTGAGAAGATATATAAATCTCTTAGTAGGGTGCTGGGCACACTGCAATCATTCATAAAGGTTAGCAACTTCCATGATTATTAGCTCCAAGCAGTCAGCTTTTATTTACAAGGTCAATTCAGTTCAAACTTCCCTTTTTATTTCCCTCACCCTTCACACCATCATCGAGTCCTAATTCCAGAGTAGGGATGAGACTTAAGATTTGCAAGTGAGGTCATTGTCAACTGGGCCTGGGGCAGGAATTAACTGGCACACAGAGGTCACCTGTACAGGACAGGGATCTGTCTCACTCCTTCTTCAAGGCCACACACTGTACCATCCTCTCCTCCAAAGGCTGCTTCTCAATCGGGTATGTATGGGGTTGGGTTCAGCCCAGGAGTCCTGGTGCCTTCCTCCCCACCCTGGAACTCAGAGCTCAGGGAAGATCCAAGATTCACCCTTTCCATGTAGAGGACAGAAACCCCACCTGCCTTCAGACATTCTGAACACGACAAGGGACACAGGTGCTGACAGAAGTGTCTCCAAAAGGCAGGAAGGATCCAGCAACCACATGAGACTGGGGGCAGGTGCCCAGGGCGAGGAAAACACAGGGGCCTGTGCTCGCCCTCCTTTTAAGACGGATCTCCTGTTGCTTAGACTAGAGCATACGTGTGAAGACCACTAGGAGAGCCAACATTAAAGAACATCAGATAGACATACCTTCTTCGTCTTCAGGGGTCCTCCCCTTGGATTTATCATTGTCCTTAGTCTTCTGCCTCATCCTTGAGGTGCTAAAATAGTAAGTGCCACCTACAAGGAACAGGGAAAATGTTTCACAACCAAGATCTGCAACCAGGGGACACAAAGGAGAAGAGCATATTCTCAAATGACCAAACCAAACTGAAACCTACGTGCAGAAGATTTAGAAGTCTGAGATAATCATTCTTAGTATAATATTTACTAATTACAGAATAATAAACTACTTCAACCCACACATCTATGGACAGCTAATTTTCAACACAGGAGCCAAGACCATAAGATGGAGAAAGGAAAGTCTCTTCATAATTTTATTTTATTTTTTATTTTTTTATAATTTTATTTATTTATTTATTTTTCTCCCCAAAGCCCCAGTAGATAGTTGTATGTCATAGCTGCACATCCTTCTAGTTGCTGTATGTGGGACGC